CCGTTGAGAGATCCACCCCGCAGAGGGAAGCCCCGCGTATGTCACCTTTCGAGGACTCGCGCAATACGCCTACCGTCTCCGTGCGGCTCCTTCGCCAGTCCGAGGGGGGGAAAAGGGGAACCCCATCAGACGGAATAGCAGCGTTGCCTCATAGCAGGGTTGCGTCATTGTAGCGTTGCGACATTGCCGCTCTGCAACATCGCGTTTTCGCAACGCCGTGGGGACTCCCCGAAGGATGCGAACCAACGCGTAACATGATTGCAACCGCGTGTGCGCTCTACAGAGAGGTGCTCGGGATTAAAAGGGGGAAGAAAATTCACCACTATGTGTTTGTCTACAAACGTAGATCAGCTGCACGATCGTTTGTCGGGACAGCCGTGGGGGAAGGCGAAGCACGCCATGGTACAAGCGCGAGTCAAGGGGAAAAAAAATGCTTGCGACATTTGGTCAGACTGGAAAGGGAGTTATATGCTTTGTTGAAGGTGAGCAGGTGGGAAGATCATTTGCTGTCCCCATCGGACAGATTGCGCAGTGGGGCGGCGTCGAATAGGGACAAAGGGTCCCCGCAGAATGCAGCGCCAATGGAGGCGCCAGGAGAACTCTCAATTGAAGTCCCAGTGGACGCCCCAGTAGAAGCCACAGTAGAAGCCACAGTAGACTCCCCAGTCGACGCCTCAGTGGACTCCCCACTCCAGATCCCAAACCGCCTGAACAAGTCAGTTCGAAAATTGCACAAATGGACCCCCTTGGATAGTAAAAGAAACAGCATTATAGCCAGAACGGTGGAGGAAAAACAAATCGAAGAGATGCTCAATCGTATGTATACCCTAATGAGTAGAACCGCCTTGAGCAAAGTTCTCCAACTGAGCGAACAAGTCAGCAACAAGGGTCTGTACAAGACGATTTTAATGAAGTACCTCCATAAGATTAACAGGAGGGATAGAAGGGGAGTACCCCGCGGAGGGAGCATCAGCTGGAGAGAAGGCACGACGAACCAGTTGTTAAGCCTCTTCCATATGTGTGCAGACTACTACGTCCGCATGCAGGAGGATAGGAGCGGCGACACGAGGATACACACCTGTGAGGGGAACCAATTTGAGGACACCCCCAATGTGTGCAGAGAGGTAATTGCAGCCCTCGCACAGGCACTTCGCAAAAAGTTGGTCCGCTTCAAACTGAGGGAAATGAACGATTTGGTAACGGCTCTGCTTCGACTGAGAATGGTTGACCCGTTTGTGGTGAGTGAGGACACCACGAATGATCTGATGGAAAGGTTCTCCTCTCGACTGTTCCGAGTGAACTGTGCTGTGATGGAAGCGGGGAGAGGTGGAACCAGAAGTGAGTGCGCAGCGGTGGAAACAGGAGGCGGCAGCAAAGACAGAGACGCTGGCCACGTTGTCGATGAGGAGGGTACACCGGCGGTATTTTCAAAAGGAGAAGCGGGGCGCGCCCCCCCCTCTTGCGCACCTCCATCTGGAGCGATTAACCTGGGCGATTTGGCCAAACTCCTGTACCAACTTGTTACGATACAGAAGCGTCGTATGAGTCAGAAGGAAGACTCATCTTCGGACAGATTCACAAAGGAGCAGACAAACCTAGTGAATGCTATCCTCGCGTATTCAAAAAATGAGATTAAAAATGGCACAGATGTTAAGAATAAGCTCTTCTGGCCAAGTTGCACTTCCCTTCTTTACAGCTTAACCGTTTTGTATAGCAAAAAATGGCACACGGATTGTATAGAAATATATGACCACGCAGTGAGGACATATGATGAATGTTTCGATGTTGACTTAGCCGAACTGGTTAGCCTTCACTGCTACGACTTCAGCAACTTCGGGAAGGAGCACTGGCCTGAGGAGGAGGTGAAGAGAACATGTCTTCTTCGGAGCATTTCCCATTTTTGCAACTCCAAGGCGATATCGATTAGGTTCGTCCTTTCCATGAAGGAGCAGCCCGCGGAGAGGCACACGTTCCTCTCCCTTGAGGAGTTAATCAAGCTGACGTACGCCGTGACCTTTTTTTACAAGAAAACGGAATCGTCAGAGGAGGAGATAAGAACGAAGTGGAGTCACCGTGTCAGGGGAGTCATCTCGTCATTGCTGCTTCTCACGGACGGGTTAGTGGAGCGCGCCGTTTTGGATGTCCTTCCGGTGGGGCGGCAAAATGATACGGACGAGGGAAACACACGTGGCCGCGCCCTCCTCAAACGACTGAGCCATTTAGCAAATGTATACTACGAGCACCACATTGGGGACATGAAGGTCCTCTGCGCCATAACCGTCTTAATTAGCAAATGCAGGGATGTCGATCTGGTCGTCCTGAGCAACATCCTAAATATATTTACAAAATTAGACTTTTCCTACGACGGTTATTTTGTTTGTTTTTTCTTTTCGAACTGTTTGGGGAAGGGATACCTGGGTGAGGAGGTCTTGCGAGCGTGCTTTTTCCAGCCGAATGGGGGTAGGCAACCTCCGTTGAGCGATCACACTGATGAGAGAAACGCCGTCCAGAAGGAGAAGGAAAAAAAACCGATGGCCTTCTACATATGGAGAGCTTTCATCAAATGCGTGAAGAGGAGTGTGGCGGACAAGCAGAAGTGGAAGGACCTCTCCCCCGTGAATATCACCAAACTGGTGAATGGGCTGATGCATTTCAAGTGCCTGGATAAGCAGTCCATAGAGGTCCTCACGAAGATAATATTAGCGCAGTATACGCGGGGGGAAGCAGTTGGGATTATAAACGGGGCGTGTCGCAACGGAGAAGAAGCCTATCAGAGAGCAGCTAAGGTAGCACACTTCAACCTGGTCTCGCTAGGCTCGCTCCTCAACTACATGAGCGTGACTGACGACATCCAGTGCTACGAAGCGAAGATAAAGCTCGTTAAAATGATAGCAGAGAAAGTAGTGAACCGGGAGAATTCGTTCGATGCGAGGTTGCTATGCAGCATTTATATCAGCTACGCCAGATTGAATATACATGACGTAGGTCTCTTTTACTTAATAAGGAAGAGACTTAAATCGAGTCAGTTAAACGATCTGAACCTTTTGAGTATGCTTTCCTATATGAATAAAGCGGGAATATATGACGAGGGACTTCTTCGCACTTGCTTTAATAACGCCTTTACCAAGTGGAGAAACAAAACGAAGCAACGATTGTCCTATGCAGTTCACCTTTTATTCATCTTAACCTCCATAAGTCAGACTTTCCTCTTTGATAGTTTCCACAAAATTATGTGTTGCGCGTTGGAAATCATTTCATATCTGTACAGTGTGTGCAAGGATGAGGAGGAAACAGAAAAAAGAAGAAAAAAAAAAAAAAAATTATCGTACAACTTCTTCTCCATGTTGCTTATCAGTCTGCACACTTTTTACCACTTCTTCTTGGACATCCACTTGGGGGGAAATGCCGGAAGAGTGCTAGACAGTGTGAACAGAGACTATCTGAACATGTTTCATTTTTTTTTATGTCAACATTGGGAATCGGTGGAGGGGATGGGCGCCACCAATTCGCAAATTCAGAGGAATGTACTGACCGCGCTGCGCCAGGTGGTGAGTAAAGATGTCTGCATCTCCTACGAGTACGCCTTGCGCGGCACGCCATACCTGGTTGACATGGTACTGCACCGGGGAGGCGGTGAGGATAAGCGGCGGTAAGGATAATTGGCGGTTAACCGTTTTGCTCAGTAACCTTCACTGCTGTCTCCGCCCATCCTTCTGCCCTTACTGCCCCTGTACTTCCGTCCCAGTACCCCTGTCCTTACCGGTGGTCTCCCCCCACTGTGCCTGCCCCTTCCGTGCAGCAACTTGCCCAACATTCTTCAAATTTTTACCGCCCCGCGCCTCCATCAACAATTGGCTAATCCGTAGTAGCAGTTCGCATAAGACCGAAATGGAGTTAACCCTTGGCGACTCTCCCCACACCGCTACGTGTAATTCCCCCGTACTGCAGTATGTCCCCTTTAAAATCTGTTTTCATTCCCCAGCATACAAAAAGGGGAATGAAAAGTCATGCCCCCACAAAATGCAGCAGTGATGGAGCCGCGCTACAGGGGAGGGACTTAAACCCTGTGGGACAAAATGATGCAAAAAAGAAAAGAAAAAAAAAAAAGAGAAAATGCTACCTGCGGGGAGGAAATCCTCTCTGTAGCGTCGTTTTCCTTTTTTGTTCCTCTTCGAAACGGTTTGCGCCACCCGAGAGAAAGAGCCACCAGTGCGTGCTTAAAAAAAAAAAAAAAAAAAATATATCTATACATATATATCCTTTAGAGGGGCATACCTTAGCACGACCCGACTGGCCTGATCGTAAAAAAAAAAAAAGCGCAGAATAGTACAATGAGAAAGGGGCCACTGTGAAAGGGACGAGTGGACTACACAAAGCGAGATCGTGATAATAGCGGACATGAGCAGTACCCGTGTGGCTATTCGCCCCAGTTCAGGAAGGCCTTTCCGGAAGGTGTAGCCCGATGCGGGTCACTTGATGAAGCTCGTCCGGAGGGACCAAGCTGGACGACGCAATCGGCGGGACGAAAGCTGTGCAACGTAACATCCGTTCTGTATACAACGCATCACGCGTTACCCTCCATTCGCCGTTGCCCCAACCCCCGCCCGCAAAGATGGAGGTCAACCCCTACGTGTTTAAGAGCCTGGTGCAGATCTATGAGGAGTACCTCAACCTGATCATACACCGGGTGAAAGGTTACAAAGTGCTAATCCTGGACGACGAGACGAAGACGATCATTTCGCTTATCTTCTCCCACTCATACATCCTAGAAAAGGAGATCTTCCTCACGTTGAATTTTAACGACAGCAACATTTTCGAAGATGCGACGAACAGCGGTGGAAAAAATGACAAGTTTGACTTCAAGAATTACAAAATAAAAAATCTGAAGCATCTTAAGGCCATTTTCCTTTTAAGGCCAACACACACCAACATCCTGAAGTTAATGAAGGAGCTGAGGAGGCCAATCTTCCTAGAGTACTACCTCTTCTTCACCAATATTCTGAGCGATAAGTACACAGAGAAGCTAGCCAAGGCGGATGAATTCGAAGTGGTAAAGAACATCATGGAGTATTACATAGATGCCTATGTCCTCCATGATAATTTATTTTCCCTAAATATCGACTACACGTCTTTTTTGTACAAAAGTGATGATAAGCATTGCCTCTCCATGGGATATACAGCTAGAAACAGGAGGAGGAAAAACAGAGGTCCTTTTGTGAAAAATGCGCAAGGTATGCACTGGACTGATGGGAACTACGACTTAGGGGGAGGTAGAAACAAATATGATAAGCTCACGATTGATGAGTTTGGACAAATTGGAGAAGGAAATGGGGATCCATTCTCAAATGCACAACTTCAAAATAGTAGCGATTACAACGCCAGCACCATTGTCGATGATGATGTGAGCAACTACTCCAGCTTTTCGCTGTTCGAGAATCAAGTGGTGCAGAGGATAGTGGACGGAGTCTTCTCCCTTCTCTGCTCCGTTAAGCAGGTTCCCGACATCATCTATAATAGAAACTCCCCCATTTGTAAGCACATAATCGATTTGTTAAAAATTAAGATGCTAAGAAACGAGTCTGTTTTTTCTGGTGTGTTAGATTCGTACGAAAGGTACAATGGAGAAGTGGAGAGGCAGATAAAAATGGCTAGTCAGGAGGGCGAACATAGTAACTACCAGTTTAATAGCATCATCGGGAATCAGGCTGCCAACATGGGGACAGAGGGGAACTGCTGCTATATGATAATTCTAGACAGAAGGGAAGACCCCATCACTCCGCTGCTAACCCAGTGGACCTACCAAGCGATGCTGCACGAACTCATCGGCATAGAGAATAACAAAATCAATTTGGGAGACAACTCAGAAGAATCTCAAATAGTGATGTCCTGCATCTATGACGATTTTTACAATGAGCATCTGTTTGACAATTTTGGAGATCTCGGAAAAGCAGTCAAGACCTATGTTGATGTGTACCAACAGGAGACCTCTCGAAAGAGCAACTTAGAATCCATAGATGATATTCAGAAGTTTATAGAGATTTATCCAAATTATAAGAAGCTGTCTGGGAATGTTACCAAGCATGTAAATATCCTTCACAAGTTTGCCGAAATTGTAGAGAAGAGACAGCTATTTTACATGTCCGAGCTAGAACAGTCCATCGCCATTTACGACAAAAAAGGTGAACACTTCAAGCAGGTCATCGAGACGATAAGAAATGACACGTACACTAATTATGATGTGTTACGGCTGTCCCTGCTGTACAGCCTCAAGTATGAAGACGAAGACGAGGTCGAGATGATAAAAACAGAGTTAACCAAACGGAACATAGACAAAGATCAAGTGCTACTCATAGATGCCTTACTAATGTATGCCAGTGAAGAAGCGAGGAATAATCAGCTATTCAAAGAGCAGACCTTCTTAGACTTTGCAAAAACGACGATAACGAGAACGATAAAAGGAACCTCCAATGTTTTTACGCTACACAAATCATACATTTATTACCTCATTGAAGATTTGATGAAATCCAAGCTGGACAATCACACGTATACGACGACCAACTTGCTCAACATCGAACCCAATGTGAATAAGCGAGTCTACTCCATGATCGTATTCTTCATCGGGGGGGCCACCTACGAGGAGTACCGCGACCTGCAGTACCTGAGCAAGCGGTACAACATTCCCTTTCTGCTCGGCGCCACGCAGCTCCACAACTCGCAGTCCTTCCTGGCGGATGCGCTGCAGCTGGTTAAAGAATGACGCGGGGGGAAGCAGCGCCCCGAAGTTGTCAGGAAGGACTGCCAGTTGTGTCCCCCGTTTGGTCTGCTCTTTTTGGTTCTCCTGTTTGGTTTGCCCTTTTTGGTGCCCGTTTTTTTTCTGCTCTTTTTTTTTCCTTTTTTTCCGTTAACCCCACGAAGGTGCCCCAAACATGATCATTTCCTCATTCGACATTTTTCCTACCTTTGCCCTGTTAAATACCCCATTGGGATACCAAACGATCGACCAGAGTGACCCCAAGTTGTGTCACATGGTTGATAAGAATCCCCCCCCTCATAGCAACACCGCATGGGGAATTCGTGCAGGGGCGTGTCTTCCCCCGAGGTGTGCGCCTATCCGAATATATTCATACAGCCGTTTAGCCGTGCAAATTTGAGACTCACGCGCTCCTATTCTTTCAAAGTTTAAGCGTGCCCCGCTTGGCGCTTTCCCCTTCTGAGCCAATCGCTTTAAAAAGAAAAGAAAAAAAAAACAAAAAAAATTACCTGACTATTCAGGCAGATTGTGCCATTTCTGTAGTGTAGGTAGCGAAATACCTGGCCAGAGAAAAAAAAAAAAAAAAAAAAAAAATTTGCACAAACCAAAACGCTCGACAACGCCAAACGAAAAAAAAAGTAACAGAACAACTCTTCACACCCGTGTCGCTTAACCCCTGTGCATAACTTTGTAAAAGGCGCGCATTAGCATGGGGCCATACTGATGAGGGAGAAAAATCACACGGTAAGAAAGAGTAAGGCAGAGGAAATAAACCAAGCGAAATACACCCATATAAATACACACACGGGTGTATACCTATTTATGTGTGTTTAATTTTTTTTGTTTTTTTTTTCTGTTCGGACATCCCCACCGCGAGCCTACCAACGTTGCAGCGCCAAGCAAATTAGCCAATTGCGCTGAAGAGTGAAAAGGCGCCCTTCGTTGGGAGAAACAAAGTGGAGCATGCAAAAGAAGTGGGACCAAAAATTCTTGCGCAGGAAGAGGAAGCACTCAATTCGCGAAGCAGTCAATGGATTTTGGAGTAGCCCCCCCAGGAAATGATGCAGCGAACAGAATCGAGTTCACCCCGGAATACGTGCACGGGTACTGTGGGGGCAGAAATAACATTCTCAAGTTCGCCAATAGGAAGGTTATCTACCCTGTTGACAATTTGGTCGTCGTGTACGACCTGCTGGACCGAGTGCAGTCCATCTTTGCGCAACACCTGAATGAGGTAGCGAAAGAGAAGGAAGAAGGAGAGTGAGCAAAAAATGGGTTTAGCATAATTTGGCTCATTTTTTCCCGTTTTCATCGCGTGTACGTTTTACTAATCTGATTATGTCGAGATGGTACGTCACCGAGTGTAACCCGTAATCGAATTGCCCGCATCCTTTTCTTTCCCAATTTTGCAGGTGACCCTGGTCAGGTGCAGAGAAAGCGGCAGAACTGTCCTGAGCGCAGAAGAGAGCAACAGCCACGTCAGAATATACCTATGGGACAAGAACAACTTTAAAGTTTTAGCCAAAATAAAGATAAAGAAGAAACACTTTCTCGATCTAGAGTTTTTAAACGATGAGGACATCTTCCTTCTGTGCAAGTGGGCTGGTAAGTTAGTCTATTTGGTTCTCTCCGTGGAGACCTGCCGCGACAGGGGGGTGCGTCTCAGGCGAAGCACAGTGTGCGTGGTGAAGGCGACAGAGGGGTGTTACCAAGAGGCGCAACGGAGAAGAAGACAGAATGGGGAAGGAGATGATGATGATGGCAACTGTGTCAATCGTGGCAGCCGTGGGGATGCCATCACGAAGCTTGAGAGACGCCTCATGGTAAGGGGGGCGGAGGGGAGCAGTGCTATCTTCCGGCTGTTCAGGCAAAAAAGAGCAAGAAATGACGCACACATAATTGCCAACCGGAGGACAAAAGGGCCTACTCTTGAGAAGTCCTACTTTAGGAAGATAACCGTGACAAATACAGCAAACTTCGTCCAGCTGGAAGAGCGCAGAAAAGGGGGCCATCCACATTATGACATAGCATTTGTAATGCCATTTCTGAAGGAGAGAAAAGGGTCCAACAGGGTGTTAACACAATTTAGAGTGTCCGTACCGATTGACAATAATGTGTGCATATACAACGGGGAGTACCTCCTGGCTTACGTGATGAAAAATGGCGTCCTTTACGAAAGGTTGAGGAGTGAACGGGTCAGAAGTGCCTCATTTTTAAATGATGGGAGCTTTTCCAAACCACAGCAGGGCCTCCACTTTTTTTCCCTCCTTTCGATGAATCTATTTGTGAATGGGTTACCTTTGTGTGACCTCTCAGGGGAAGGGGAAATAAAAAGAGATGAATCGCATGGGGGGTTGCCAGAATGGACAGATGGCTCAGTTGGGGAAAGGATCCTCTGGGAGGGGAATCCATCCAGTCAAGGTACAATAAGGAAGGAGGCGCAGCTTAACATGAGAGAATGTGTGGCTAATCGGTTTGACAATTTCTTGGGGGATGAAATCAGTGCCGTCTCGGTTGTCACATGTCTTTATGTAAACGAGGGAGACGACATAGATGTTGTTTTGAAGCTACAGGGGAGAGTCCAGCATGGTGAGCAAAAGATTAATGCACAGCTGCATCGCCAAAGACGGAGAAGCGTGAAGAAGGATCCCCCACGAAGGAAAAAACTCCTCGTGGTGGGATCCAAGCGAGGCGTAATCATAGTCGTAGATTTTAGAAGACCCCACAGGGTAGAACATTTAAGGAAGATCTCCGCCGACAGGATTGTCTCAATTTTTACTCATCAGAATTGGATAGTGATACTGAGCTGTTCCGGGGTATTACATTTTTTGGGGATGCCCAATTATGAGACATGTAAATCGCTTGACTTATTTTGCTCAGAGGGTGGAGACTCTCCCTCTCTTGGTAGCAGCAGATTGTCGACCACGAGAGGCACATCTGATTGTGCATTCCTGGAGAGGGTATCCCTAAATTCATTCAGACGAAGCCTCTCCCCCCGTAGTAGCATGAGTGGCGTCCAAATGGGAAGCAACCCAACATGTAGATGTACTGAGCAGAAGCGAAAGGGATCATCTGGAAGGTCATGGTTATCTTCCTCCGTTAAGAAGAGTCCAACCCGGAATGGGAAGGAGAGTAGAAGCTTCATATGCGCTTGTTGCCTGCTAGATATTTACACCCTTGTAGTGGGAACCTCAAATGATGAGATGGTTCTTCACAATTTGATTTCCAATGAGACGTATTACACTTATCGAAAGAGGCAGAAGATAAACTCCTTCACTTTAGACACTGATCATATGTTTTACAGTGTAGAAAGGAGTCTGTACAGAATGAGTTTAGTTCACTATAACTCCCCCGTGAAGGTGGTCACTTTAACGGAGGGATCCATTTCATCCTTTGTGTTCCTCTCAAGTGGAGTGTTAATATGCGGGACGCTGAAGGGTACTTTGATCTTCTTGGCCGTTTCGGAGGGAGGAGCCAAAGTGATTAACAAGGTTCACATGAAGGAGTTTCCTACGGCATGGGTAAGGCTGACGCGGTGCGTCAGGGCCATTCCAAAGATTAGCAGAGTTGGAAGGATTAGCAGCGTTGGAAGGATTAGCAGCGTTGGAAGGATTAGCAGCGTTGGAAGGATTAGCGGCGTTGGAAGGATTAGCGGCATTCCCAGCATTCGAAACCTTCCCGGTGGAAACTCCCCGGTAGGAAGAGAAGATGAAGAGAAAAAGGGTCCCAGGAAGGACAACCCAAACGAAGTCATATGTTCAATCGGTAAAGTGGTACCGAATAGGAGACTCGCCAGACCACGGAACGGTAGACGGATGAACGAACTGCCACCTCAGGAGGAACAAATCAGTTGGCTAGTCCTAAACAACGCAAGGAATATCCTCTTGTCTGCAACTGGACGGTGTATATATCTGTTTAGAATTCACGTGGGGGGAAATGAGAAGGTCGATTTGAGGTACCTCAGATGCCTCCATTTTGAGGGAACCATTGTTCATGTAAATTTGGTCCAAAATTATGACAACTTGTTCTACGTCGCAGTGAAGGAGGATATTCATAAGAGCATCGGTGGTACCTTCTATAGCTATCACTTGTGCTCCTTTAGCTGCACCAAAAGTAGAAGAGACGGAATGATTGACGTGTGCAGGAACGTGCTCATTGAAAGTACCCAAGTTTGTCCCTTTCTGTATCTACGTGAGGAACGTTTCGGTTTTCTAAAGGATAAAGTTGTCTGTCTTCTAAATCCTTACACCTTTGCAGTGTATTCATGCGGTGTTAAGAAGACGCCGAAGCGGGACCAAGAAAACGCACAAAGACGGGTGAGCAGCCACCTAAGCTGCGTTACCTCCTGGGGAGAATTAACAAGCGGAGGAAAAAATGACTCCAAGGAGAGGGCTACAGTTTATCCCTCCGGAAATCCCCCCATGGATGTTAGCCTTCTTTGGAAAAGTGGGAGGACCGATCATAGCGGTCCAAATGAGTGCACTATCCGCCAAGGGGCGAAACGCAAATTGGGGGAAGGGACCAAGGGGGAGGCACACAGGAAAGAAGACATCCATAAAGCGCCGCTTAGAAGTGGTCATCCCAGCAACACGCCGCTTAGAAGCGACTACAATACTAAGCAGAAGCAGGGCATCGCGAAACTCAAGCCAACACGTGAAGCGACGCCGAAGGGGTCTCCCAATTTGAGCGGAGAAAATGATCAAGCAAAGGAAAGACAGGAAAAATTCAGTGGAAGGAAAATGAAGGACTACACAAAATATAAACTGTTGAGGAATATTTTGCAAAAAAGGACAAGCCTGGAGAGTGATGGATTCTTTCTAGGCGTTAATCGAAACGGGGCACTCGGCATGGGGGAGAGGTATAAAACACATTTGGGAGTTCCACTCGGTGAAGGTCACGAGGAGGAGAAGAAGAACAACAACAAGAAGATGAAGGATGGGCCAATTTCCAACCGGTGTAACGGAGATACAATTGATCAGAAGAAAGCTACAAGGAGGACAACCCTCAGGGTGTGGAGTCCAGAAGACTCTGTAAAAAGATATTTAAGGAAGTACTTGGGTGTCGTTATTACGCAGGAGGGTGAGGAAACAGGAAGGACATGCAACAACGGGGAGAAAACGAGAAGAACGTGCAACAACGGGGACGAGGACCCGGACGATGCTTCTTCTGGTGACAAACAGGAGGAGGTATATTTCCCCCTAAGAGAAGGAATCACTAGCAAGGTGAGCATACGAAAGGCAGACTTAGGGAGTGGCAACACCCAGGAAGGCACCCCCATACAGGGCATATCAGTTAAACCGTTGGGGGGGGATAATAATGTTGGGAAAACAAAGTTGAAATGGAAGAAGACACTTATTCGTAAAGAAGCCATTAGTGGAGGTTTCCCGAGGGTTATTCCTCATAATGAGCTGATGTGTAACCATAACGGCGAAGGCAAAAGGGGAACACATTGTTGTACTTCCGCACAGGCATGTGATAAGCATGAAATGTGTGTAAACAGTGGAGATGGCCTCAGACGAGGGAGAGCCCCTATTGATAGCTACACAGATGGGGTAACCAAAGACGTTGTTAAGCTAAACAATCACGCGCAGCGTATATTCAATCGAGAGGGGGGTAACGCAAAATGGAACCCTTGTGGTGTTAAGAAGGGGAAAAACATCCCCAGCACCTTTTCTACGATGAACCAAAAAAACGGTCCCCAAAAAATTTGCCGCATAGCGAAACAAAATGATAAAATAAAGCCAAGAAAGGAACATAAGCATGTGGTACTACGTCAGATGGAGAAAAATATCCAATCGATAGTAAATGGACATGTGAAGTACCCTTTTAAGATGTGCAAAATTCAAGAGAAAGAGAAAGTCGATGGAGGGAATACTCTCGTGGATGACAAGGTCACCTCACCACGGGACTGTACAAATGTGTATATTAGGGCCCCATGTGCGATTAATTCGATCGAAATTGTGCCTGATCATAGATGATGCGAATGTACGGTTTGTTCCATCTGTGATGGTACGTAGACTCAGGTGCGACTGCGGCCTCTCCGTATGGGGATTTCTCCCTTTTTTGAATTCCGCGCTGGAAGAGCGGAAAATGTAAAAGAGCATTATAGCTTACACAAATGTCATTTGTTAAACTGGATGTGAACTTCCCTATCTGCAGCTAGCTTTTTTTTATAACTTTTTTTTTTACATCACCTTCGAAAAATGGGATAATTTTTCAATTTTTTTATTAACTGCTCATAAAAAAGTGGTTAGCTAGCTATTAAAAGAGAGAGAAAAAAAAATTATGAAAAAAAGCTACCTGTGTGTAGACACCCTTGGTGCATTCCCAAAAGGGGAAAAATGATTATCAGTAAGTCATGGAATGTAGATTAGCCATTAGAAAGAATTGCGAGAATGCAATTTTTTCAGGTTCTGTTGTAAAGATGGCGATTTAACAACAGTGTAAAGGTAAAAATGGTGTCTACAATTGGAGATCTTCCCCTAAATGGAACCCACCGCCGCCCCATTGGCGAAGGCAAAAAAGGGACGCGGCACTGCGCATAAGGGATACTTCCCCATTTGTTGGTAACTTACGCAGGTATGAGCACTTTTTTTTTGCGTATGTTCACGTGCGAGCATGGTCCACATATAGCAGTGGGGAGCGCTTCCACTAATGTCACTTGGCGCGAGGATTATCAGATTAACCGATTATCAGATAAATGAGCGAAGATCGAACTGGTATCCGCGGGCAAGGATAGAGAAAAAGGGTCTGTCCTTACCCTCCAAATGGTTAATCATATGTATATAGACGTACACGCATACATTGAACTTTTCGATTTTTCGTCAAAGGCACTTTGCACGAATAATTATGTAGGCCGCGGGAAATTGGCATGTGCGACCAACCGATGGTTACATTTCATGCCATTTGTTCGATTGACCAAATGTAGGGTGAGGAACCGGTGGAACCCAGCGCGGTTTTGTTTTGTTTCGTTCTTTTCGACAGCGTTGAATTTAATTCTACACATGGGTGTTCAATTCAGCCTCAAGTGGGTTACGCCGCGTCAGTTGTGCTCCCATGGAGTTAACACACACCTGTATAGGCGGTGGGCACGTTGGGCTTGCACAGTTGGTATGTATATAAATATATACATATATGTGTGCCCACTTTGTTTGACTTTTTCGTTTTTTTTTTTTTCTTTTCCATAGCGAGAAGGGGGCGCATAAGGTCAATTTGATGCGCAGGTGAATTAGGAATGTCCCACCGCGCGAGGGGGGAAAAGAAATTTGCTTGCCATAGTTGACCTACATGCAGGGCTCATGGATCACCCTACTGTTTTTCCCCTTCCGAAATTCTGCTGCATAAAAGGGATAAACGCGCTAATAGTTACCTATATGTACCTGTACGTTTACACATGTATATATGCACTTCCTTGGGGCGGGGGAGCATTCACCATGGGAACAGAAAAAAAGAAAAAAAAAAAAAAACAGGCCTCATTTTCTTGCATCTCAACGTTGCTCGGTTTTGCTGCTCTTCCCCCCGTCCTCCGGAAGGCCAAAGTAAGAAGAAAAAAAAAGAGGGTAATAATCACGGGCAAGAAACACAAAGAAAGGGTAAGAAACGGTAAAAAATGCAAAAAAAGGTAAAAAACGATAAAAAAGGAGAAAAAAAAAATATTACAAGAGAAAGCGCAACTTTTCACAACAAAATTGACAATTGGGCGACGCAAGCAAAGTGACCAACTTTTGAGAGGCACAGCTCTGTTTCATTTTTTTGTGGCCAAGTGTTTCTTCATCCATGCGCCATTAGTACTTACAGCCAGCCCACTCAAATTTTGTTGCGTGATTGTTTCCCCCGGCGGGATCGCAGCCGAGGGGTGAAAATTATACGTACATATGAGTGCATATATATTGTATACATTACGTATATATTACGTATATATATGTAATATATGTACATGTTTGGCGTATACGGCCGCCAACCCCCCTGGCCAGGCAAAAGGGACCATCTGACTTACTCAGATTGTACCGACTCTGAAGGAAAAACACTCCAACTGGTGAGGCCTCCTTCACATTTCCCTGGCCAGCGAGATCAACTCACCTTTTTTGTATCCTTCCAAGCAGAAAAAAAAAAGGAAGAAAGAAGAAGAAAAAAAAAAAAATTTCCTCGTTTTTTATAAATTCGTACCATCTTCCAAAGGTGTACTTTTTTTTTTTAAGCCTTTGCGACAGGCGGCGTGTGAATTTTGCATATGCCCAGCTGGCCGATCACGTTTTCTCGTCATTCACGTTGTTCCCGTGCTTTGCGTCGTTTGCGGCTGTCCCCTGTTACGAAATCGCAACGTTGCAGAGGGGCGAAGTTATCCAGTTGACAAATTTCGCCCAGCTAGCCCAGTTTCCCACTCGCCCAGTCGAAACATTCAATTTGCCAGCCAGCCAGGCGCAGAGATTACGAACGGCTTTCCAGACCTCCCCTGCCTTCCCCCCCCACCGCTGCATGTTCAACTCCAAGAATTTCCCGCGGGCAGGCGCGGCTCGAAGTAAGTTAACATAAAAAAAAAATGAAATGGGTATTTCGAAAAGGCTCGGACTTTTTGTAGCCTTTGTGCTTCTTTTCTGGTGTTATGGAGTACCGTGTGATGAGGTGGCTGTGAGAGGAGCGCCCAGCGGGGTAACCCCCCCCAACGAGGAGAAGGCGAACAAAGCGGAAAAGACGGGCAAGGCGGACAAGGCGAACAAGGCGAACAAAGGGGACAAAGGGGACAAAGCGGACATAGCGGCGAATTCGGGGAACGCAGGCAACACCCCGGGGAGCGAAGGCAAAGGTCAAGTCCAAGAAGCCAGTGTAAACTTAAAGGGCGGCGTCTCCAAGGAGCAAGCCGCGAAAGGGGGGACGGCCATCTCTGTGGCCAGTGGCGCAGGTGGAGCACACGCGAAGACGACCTTTTTGCAGACCAACGAGAAGCAGCAGGAGAGCAAGGATAGTGTCAACAGTGCCAGCAATGCCAACACTGCCAACGCTACCAACGCTGCCAATACTTCCAACGCTACCAACGCTGCCAATACTTCCAACGCTACCAACGCTGCCAATACTTCCAACGCTACCAAC